AGCCTTGTGCATGGTTTCAGATCAGATTGCAACCAGTGGTGGATTCGCCTGTCCCCTCTGGCAAATGATTTAAGCAGAATCCAAAAATCCTGCAGGCCTCCAAGGTCTCTTGGAGATGTTGTGCTTGTATGTCGCAGCATCATATTTTGAAGAGAATAAAACCCTTCATATGTAAACACTTCATTGCTGCAGAGGTAATACATTGTAAGAGATGGAGTCCGGTTAAGACTGATTAAAGCATTCAACCAACACTGATTATTTTAATCCTTAGCATCCACCACAATGTCTGTACTCAGTACACAAGACGTAACTCCAAACTGCCAGGAGCTCACTGTCTAACCCTAACCACACATAAATGGCAGGTCCACAGTGTGTATCTGTTAGAACAGAGATCTGCAGCAAGTGTCATTGGAATTCTGATGAAGCAGGATGCGGAGTGGAACTGGGATGAGACACGTATTCCATTTCAAAGGTGTGCGTGTGAGGGGCACGGTTGGAAGGATCAGAAGGTAGAGCAGACAAACTGGAAAGCACTGAGAGTACTACAGGATGTCACTGAGGAGTCCCATGTAGCACCTGTGAAAACTTGCACATCTCTGCTGCTTCATAGTTAACAGAAAAAAAGGTCATAGACTTCATCGCTCTTAATGTCATAGGCTGGGCAGATATTGTTCCTGTGTGTATGCAATTGACCTGAAGCACTCAAAATCATGTAGTGAGTGGGAAAGTAAGAATCAAACCAGGTACTCAGGCCCCTGAGCCCAGTGCTCTTTCTGCAGTTTGCAGGTGGCCCATGGGTGGTGAGGCACACACAGGCACGGAGGAGACACTTATTGGGGGGTAGGGCCATGGGAGACCAGCCTTGCTCAGATGCCCCAGAGCAGGAAAGGGCATTAGAGCAGTGGGTCTCAACTCTGGTTTCACATTAAAAATATTGGAAGAGATTTGTTAAATGCCTACACCTCTGCCCACCTCCAGGGATTTTGATTCCTCAGATTGGAAACCTGGCAGTGAAGTTTTTAAAAAGCATCCCAGCTAATGCCAGAGTGCAGCCCGCCAGGTCAGCACTACCACCAAGGAGCCCCCATGGGCCTGTCCTGCTTCAGCATCTTTGTGTTTTCATCTTCCCAGACCAAGAGACCAAGAGGTCTTTGCACTTCTCCATGCCCTGATTCAGCTACAACAGCGTTGACACTAACATGCAAAATCATGCACTCGTTTTGAATGGCCTGTTGGCTACTCTGAATTTGCTAGTTTACAAGAAGACAAAAGCTTCTGGTGATGAGTGCAAAAAGCAGAGAAACACCCAGGCAAGCCCCAGAAAGTTTTTCTTGGGAGCTTGACGGCACTGGCAAGATCCTGCTGTTCAGATTATTCCTCGGCAGCAGCTAACCCTCAAGTGCTTGGTTCCAAAAGGATTAGCTCAGAACTCCCACGGAAAATTCAGGGACATTTTAGAAAAGAGTTATTAAGCCTAATCCCAGATCAGTAAGCATGAATCGGCAAAACTGATTATCCTGCCATATAAAAAATTAAAAAAACAAAACAAAACTATGTTCGTGGGGACTTTTCCCATTTATTGGAACAGTTACAACAACAGCCTCCACCTCAATCCCACCTCCCTTGCTCAGATGTTAATCATGTGATTGATCCTAGCAAGAAACTAACCCAAACTGAGAGGAGATTGAGGGCGGGGCGGGGAAGGAAGCACATCTGGCCATCAACCGTGCAGCTGCAGGGGCTCCGTAGATGCGAGCTGACCACACTGAGCAACCTGGGCTCCCTTCCTGTCATGGGCACCGATTCAGACATAGGACTTCCACAGACTTGTCATATCTAATCTACTGGAAAGGCACAGAACATTTTTAACCCAACAGCAGATAATTGAAATGAAATCATTCTGGCCAAAAGGGCCCATTTGTAATAATGAATTCAAATCAGATTCATAGAAGCTATAATTCAGCCACAGTGAATACCACCATCATTTCCATATCCTCTCTCTTCCAAGAAGGCAAAATAACTCAATATTCAAATAATTACTTTTACTTTTCAAGTAGCCCTTTGAAATAATGATGGGAAAGATAATATTGCCTTACTTGTATAAAATGAGTTTCATCCACGTTCTGAACTTCGGTCGTCTTTGCCACGTCACTTCCTCACATCCTTCAATGCAACCCAAGACCCATCACATGAAAACCGGTACCTCCAAAGAAGGAAATAATCCTTCTCTAAGCCCGACGATTTCTTACTGGAAAAGCTGAAGAAGGATCCCGCTCTCCCCATTCCTTTGCTTTCCCTAGGTAATCTTTGGCCTCCAATGTGACTTCTTTCAAGATTTAGACACAGGCTTAGAATCCTTTGATCCACAGCAGTCACAATGGAAAGACTTCCTGTGGCTGATGGGCATGGGAATCATTCAATTTTTTCTATACATTCTGAAGATTTGATGCATTTGGAACACTATGTTTCCAAACACTGACTTCCCAGTGGGACATCCGTAAGGGGACTAAAGAATGGCCATACTTAAGAATTACATTTTTTTAAAATATGGCATGTTTACTTGGGGTTGAAGCTACGGACTTCCAGAGACTGGAGGCACAGACTCTCTCTCTAACAAGTAAGTTTTTCTTTGGGATGGGAACACAGCTGTTCACCAATAGACCAAAGGAGTGTGGAAAGGAAAAGGAGAGAAATACTGAGACCCTCAGAAGTCCGCAGGAGATATTTATGTTGTTTTAAGAAACATTGTGCTAGTAGTGAAATCAAAACTTAAAATATCAGGGAATAATAAAAATTAAGTGATGAAGGCAAAATAGAAGAAAGCAAATTATTATTCTTCATTATTTTGACTATTGGCAAAAGCATTTAAAATGGAGGTATATAATAAAAATGAAGGAAGAATATAATAAAAGGGAAGAATCCAAGAGGTAAATAGGGAATATAAAGAGATTAAAATGTGGACAGTGTGCTGAATTTCTGTATTTCAGAGCAAGTTATACAAGAAGAAGATGCAAAATCAATGTAAGACATGTGCTTACTTTTTAAAAAATAAAGCATACAATCAGGTAACATAAGTTACACTTGAGCATGTGGTCTTTTTTTTCCCTCTAACCAAAGCACAAAAAGCAACTATTCAGCTTTTCCTTTTTTCACTCCCATTTCTATTACCAAGCCCAGCTGTTAAACATTAGAACTGAAGATCATGAAAACAGGCCAGCAGCTAAAATAAATAAATAAATAAATAAATAAATAAATAGAAGTTGGCCCTCTGCTGGCAGAGCCCTCTTATTGCATCCTGGAAAACAGAAAGCTCAAGTTTTTATTTTTGGTTTAACTTTTAGAGGCAGCAAGAGGCCAGAGGATTTTGGGACGTTCAGCACTGAGGTCTTATTCAATGCTGGGCCTCTTTGTCCCCAGTAGAAGATTAAAATATCAAGAGAGATGTATGACAGCGTCAACACCCCTTCACACCTGGTAACATTTACTGGCATTTCCTTGGTGAACATACACCAGTGCTACTCCTAGCCTGGGTGCGATTCATATCTCTGGGCCAACTCATGCACTGCAAATGTGCATCCAGCAAATTATGTCATTGGAGGGGACTCCGAAACTCCTTTAAGGCAATGAAGTAGGCACATTACACTCTACTCTGAGACAGGCTAAAGGATGGTGCATGACCGGGAGTTTTTCTCTCCTGCTATCAAGGGAAGCAGGTCTGGCTCTATCCTTTTCTTTCCCTTTCTCTACCTGGGGCCCCTGAGCACCAGCAGCCAAGGTTCTGAGACTTATTCCCTAGCTCAAAAGCAGATTTAGCTGGGAACCACCCCGAGTGACAAGAATCCAACCTTAGCCCTTGGGTGTAGGAAAAAATAGCTGGTGTCCCAAGAAGCCTTTCTTCCCTTTCCCAGGGAGAAGCTTGTCTAGCTGTACAGAGAGTTTAACAGGGGAGCTGGGGTAAGAACAGGAAGGATATCCCACCCTCCTCCATTCCTTGGAGAAGCCAGGCTTTTTGGCTGCAGAATCTGAGACAGAATGTTTTATTTTCACTATAACCATCAAAGTCATAGACAGGGCAAACACATTCACCCTGTGTACATTGTGAGCCAGAGTTAAGCTGGGACATCTCTGAATCTGTCTCCTAGGACCAGAACTGCCTCATTAAAGGGATAAAAGATGATATCTGCTGAGCTTGTAGAAAGTTGTAGCTGCATTTTTATTAAAGTCTCTGCTGCAGCAGGTCCGGTCTCCAAAGGTTCATATTCTGAAAATCTCCACCCCTCTGCACGGAGCAAGTAAGTGATTCTCTGTAACTCATTAAGGTAAAACAAAAAGCGCTCCTATTGTGCTTTTTGCACAGGAGTGATGTCCTTGCATAAAAGCTACATGTTTCCTCTCCTTGGCCTGAGCCTGCAAAGATAAAACTGCCCTGGTAATTTACAATCGGGGGCCCAGGAGCACCAGGCAGGGTTGACATGGATGGCTGAGTCTTGAGCAGGCTCCCAAAGGGCCATGGCCCAGCACTAGCAATCCCAGGGCCTGGAATTTTAGCCTGAGATCTCTCTGCGAGGGGCCAAGAAGCTCATCCTGAGCACTTTTCTACCTCGTCACATACCTTCTGGCATGTGAGACAGCCACTGAGGCACCGAACAGTCTCAGACTAACCCCCAGTGTTTCCACTCCAGGGCTCTCCTGCTCTCACCCTGGTCCCAGGGCAAAAGTGAATGCAGCCATGTCATGGACTCAGCCATAGTGGAGTCCCAAGCACGGACCTCAGTGTTCCCTTGTAAGATCCTGGACCAGAGAAGCTGAAGCAAATGGCAAACCTGTCAGAGAACGGGTGTCAGCTGCCACAAAATGCAAGAGGGCACCTCTTGAGCCTGCAAAGGCCCTCTCACTTGCCCTTCCCCACCCCCACACCCTGCCTTCTGTTCCCTGGCTTGCTGTTACCCACATAATCACATTCTAGGGGCTCAGCCCCCCGCCGAAGTGCAGTTCCCTACCTGAGGGTGGCGCTCTCCCCCTGCCGGACCGTCACGTTGTCCATAGCTTTGGGGAAGGTGGCATCTCCGCTGCGCACAGGCACTCCTGTGGGTACAAGGAACAGCAGCCTGAGAGACACGACCACGAGGCACTTCCAGGGCAGGAACAGGTACCCACAGACCCCCATCCTCGACAGCCACAACTTCCCAGAACGCCGGCAGCAGCACGGTCCTTGTCCCCGCCCCGCACACCGGCGGGTCTCAGGAAGTGGTTTGGGGAGAGGAAGGGATGGAGCAAGTCAGAAGCAGAAACGAGTCCAGGCTCTCCGGAGCCTAATGATTCTTCCTCAAATCTTGCCTCAGCTTTCCAGCTTGGCAGAACCAGATGCCCCTCCTGCATCCAAAAAAGAGCTTTCTTGACGCTCCCTGGGGAGGAGGGAGGCAGCGGGAAGGGAGAGAGAAGGAAGGTGCAGGATGAAGGTCACAGATTGCTCTTTCTCTCTCTCTCTTCGAGATGCTACTTTAGAATTCAGTTGGGCACGTTCTGCAGAGGGCTCACACCAAAAGTTTATAACCCAAAGAAGCCAGGCAAGTGTCTCTGACATAAAAGAGATTTCATAAAATGCTGCTGCCTCAGAGAGAAGAGAACACGTTTTATTAGATCACACATGTGTATAGATATATTTATAAACGGCCCAAGCCTCGAATCTGGAACCAAAAGGCGGTAAAAAGTTCCACCGCGGGCGCAGGAGGCAGGCTCGGCGATAGGATCCTCCGGCACCGTGGATGTTCGTTCGCCCCCGAAGCCCTGGCGGCTACTGGCAGCCACCGGGCCCGCGCTGCCAGTCCGCCCAGCGCCGCCCGGCGCAGACTCGGGGCGCAGGGGAGCTGGGCGGACTGCGCCCCCGCCTCCTCCCGGGACGCGGCGCGGGAAGCGGGGACGCGCGGGAACGCGCGGGAACGCGCGACGCCACGCTCAGCGGCAGCCCCTAGCCTCCTTTCCGCCTTCCTCCCGGGAGCAGCCCCGACGCGCACTGGTCGCGACCGCCGGGGTTGTCATGGCAGCAGCTCCCTCACTGACCGCCACTTTCTCCGGTGCCCACGCAGCGCGAGCGGGCGAGCGGGCGGGCGTGAGGCGCAGGCGGGCTTGAGGCGGGGGCGCGGGCGGGCGCCCAGCTTAACCCCCGCAGTGCCGCGCCCACGCGGGCTGGGAGTGGAGCTGCGGCTCGGCTCTCCGCGACCGCGGAGCGGGCGAGAGACTGCTGCGCCCTCCGGGTGGCTCCCCAGCCGGCTGTGCGGTGGGGAGTGGGGAGAGAGAGCGGGAGAGGGAGTGCTGGGGAAAGCGGCAAATTGAGAACTGATGCTCGCACCTTCCCTGCCGGGATGCCCTAGCAGAAGTTGCCAAACTCCGCCTTGAAGAGCTGACTACGTTTCCCTGGACCGGGTGCTGAACGGGTGTGCAAGTCCACCACTCGGGCCGCACCTTCTCCACCTGGCCGAGCTACAGCCCCACAGCGGGGCTCTCATGGGGCTTTTGCGGAGAGATGGGACCCTTTTTGCTCTGATGACTCACTTCGGAAGTGCTCGAGGCCCTTGACTTGCTCCACCTCTCAGACTGGCAACCCTGAATTTCTTCTCACCGCACAACACATAAAATAGTCCCCATGTTATCCCATGCGTATACTCAAGTACCTTTTTTTTTTTTTTTAAGCAAGAGCTGGAGGAAAACACAGAGATCCTAAAAAGTACTTTTAGGACTGACGATGGCATTATGCTCACAGCATGATGTGGCGCTGTGGTAGAACTGGGAGGGGACTTGCGGATAGGGCATTAGTTCTTCCAAGACAGCCTATCAGTTTGTTTGGGACGCACATCTTTCCTTAGTGTCTGAGTTTCTCTGGGGCTCAGGTTAGTTTCTTTGCGTTTATAACTGGAGAACCCAGGCCTCTCAAAAGGTTTTCTTCTGCCCCCTCTGGCAGAAGCCACCCCTTCCTGCATCATCACTTAGTGGTCGTAAGGTAGTTTAATGGTTGCCAAGTGCATTGGCTTCACGGTATTCTTTCTCAAATCCTTTGTTAAATTAAAATTAGACCAGGTACTGAATAATTGTTACACTGGAATTTAATTAAAAAATAAGTTTTAAACTGTTACCATTTATTACTTCTCGCTGAAGGATACAACGGCGTGTCATCTGCTCTCAGTTAGGAGGGGCCAGGCACAAATAAACATTGCCCATTCTCCTTTGCAAAGTGGTAGCCTGCATACAGTTTTCAGTCTGCATGAAGTGTTTCATTAGCGTTTCATACCTCAGGAAGAAAGAATACTTGTCACTAGTCATGCCACCTGCGTTTCATATGTTTTCATGTAGTGAAAACACAATCAGCTCCTTTCCAAGTAGCAGATATTAACACAAGCGGAAGTGGGGTAGCGCACTCCTCCTTGGGCTTCTCGGCTGCAGGGCCCAGAGGAGGCGTGGCGCTGGGAAGAGAGGCTGCGTGCTCCCAGAGCGGCCAAACCACTGCTTGGGTCTTGATGACGCACTTCTTTCCTTACTATTCGAGTGGCCCTGGGTTTTCTGTGCACACATTGCACCTAATCCTCTACATTCTGAGATGCGTTTGTCAATTATCACCAGACTGGAAAAGGCTTTTCCAGCGCTTTCACCTGTGGAAAGCCGAGAGCATGAGGATGCGCTTGAGATTTTCTTCAGCTACAGAGTTTGCATCTTGCACACAGGGGGTGGCGGTGGCAGTGGGGGCAGGTCAGGCTTCCATACCAGTCACACAGCTCCTGCCACTTGGCCTGTGCGGTGCTCAGATGGCATCCCCTACTCGTGCACCTGTTGGTCTAGTGTTTCTCAGAAGATGCAAATAGGCGAAGTTGCTAAATACTAAACCGGCTCACAAAGGATTGCTTGAGGTGCAAACAGTTGTTGGGGACTAAACCAAAGAAGGACAGAGCATGAGACACCAGGGAGAGACAGCAGAGCTGGGAAGGAAGAGAACAGAGCCAGAGATAGGTTAAAGGAAGGATCTATACCGTATTTTTCAGACTATAAGACGCACCAAATGTGGGTGTGTCTTATAGTCCCAATGTAGCTCACCTGGCTCGCTGGGGGTGAGGCGGTGGCCTATGTTATTTATGTTATTAAATATTTTAGGACATTTTTTGCTTCAAAATTTTTTTCCTATTTTCCTCTAAAACCCAGATATGTCGTATAGTCCTGTGCGTCTTAAAGTCTGGAAAATTCGGTAGTTCTAATAAAATGTAATAAACCCTACTCTCAAAGGAGTAAACCTAGCATCTTTTTCCCCCTTAGGGCTAGTTCCTCCTACCTATCGATATCTGGAATCCTAGAGAACCCGGCTGTATCTCTGCAGTAACTTTGTATCCCAGTTCTGCATTGGTGAGTGAAAACATGAGCTGAACTCAAGGGTTAGTAAATTAGAGACGTAACTGCAGAAGTCTCGTCTTTATGTTAATCTATGTCAGTCTACAGATCTGTGGGGGAGATTCTGTTCCTCTGTGAGGCATTGTGAAGGACCAGTCCACTCATTTATAGACTAGAAAGCCACACAAATTAAAATGGAAGAGAGAAAGGAGGGTGAGGATCATAATGAACAAAGTAGTTTATGTCAGCAGTTTTTATGAAATGCTTAGCTGAGTCCTGCGATAGGGAAACCCCGAGTTAAACCCTTCTTGGACATATGACAACATATGTGAAGACAAATTACGTGAGGACAAATTAAAGTCGTGACTGAGAGTGTGGTTCTGAAGTCGGCTCATCTCTTCAGACTGACCAGTCAGCCCCTCGGCTGTGTGTGTGATACATTAGACTGTCTGTTTCAACTGTTTCAGGTGGGAAGGGGTCTTGATATGTCTTTAAGTTTTCATTTTAAGACATGGTAAGATGACAAACATGGGGATGATGTCGCTGAAAAGGAGTTTATTACATAGCATTCCCCAGGGAAGGGGCACTTCGAATCACGCAGGGTCGCTGGGGAAGTGCCAGGGTGAGCCAGGAAACAGAAGGAGCAGGAGAAAGCAAGGCCCAGAGTTGGTCCTGTGGCTTTCACACTAAGGAATGGGTGAGGCAGGGGAGACTAACTTGAGCAAACTTGGGAGCAGAGTGCTGGGATAGATATCTGTGGCTTCTCTGGGGGTGTACAGATGCTCTCTAGTTGTCCAGCTCCTGACCCTGGGGTTTGTTAAGGCAGGGGACATATCAGTGTGGCCTGTGGTGGGCAGTTGGGGGAAAGAAGGGGTTGGGAACATTGGTTGATCTGCATGTGAATGGGGTGCTGAAGGCAGATTATTTGCTAGCCCTGGGAGGGGCAGTCTCTCCACAACTGGGAGAGATTGCATGGTATTCAAGCATCATAAAATACAGAAAATTTTTTAAAAAACATGATTAATATAGGGCAATAATTAATGAGGTAATACAAGCAACACATCATCAAAGTACTTGACACATTCCATGTTTTCAGTAATCATAAATCAGGATTAGACAGCATAACTCCCACTTTTCTTTGATAACAAATTGTGATATGAGAAAACATATCAGTAAAAAGATGTAAGTGCTCCATCTGAATTAAACTAGAGCTTTGATTCAGATGAATAGACATCTTGATATTTAGGGTGATTTGTAATACAAAATGCAGAGTTGGATCCAGTGCAGTCACTTTGGGAATCTTAACACAGAGAGGTGGCATAATATAATTGGTACAGTTTTGAAAGACCATTCTTGCTGTTGTATAGAGTATGTATTGCAAGTGTACAGAATGGAAGGAAGAAGTACAAGAGGGAAAAAGTAATGGTGGTGGAGAAAAACTGAGGTGTGTAGCATATTTTGGAAATACCATCATGTCTAGGACTGCCTGAGAGTTTGGATGTGGGGGTTAAGAACAAGGAAGTGATTGAGAATGATTCCTAAGTTTAGTTGGCAACTGGGTGGTCCAATGTCCTGTGGTAGGGGGGCGCCCAGAAGGCAGGGGTTGAAAGAGTGAATTAAAAGCTCAGTGGGACAGCCAAGTGGAGATGTCAAGTGTGGTAGAGGGAGAAAGGAGCCTGAAGCTTATAGTTAGGACTAAAGATAACACTAATGTCTCATCTAAAACCTGCTTTGAAGCTTATGGTTAAAAAAAAAGTGCAAAATTCATTCTGCTCTGTGTGTGTGTTGGGGTCCCTGTTCTCTGTGGAAACTGTACCCCAAATCTAGAGAGCCCGCTGCCTTTGTGAGTTAAAATAGGTTGCCCTCATCTTCAACCTTAGAACCTAAGCTAAACTGCTCTCAGCTATCTCTCAATGTATTTTCTTTGCTTGGTCACATCTCAGCTTTCGAGAGTAGATCTTAAGATTGTTTGTGGATGAGGCAACGAAGTTATTGGTATGTTTTGTGCTGCACACTTACCTTTAATGTGATCCAAGTGACACAGGTGTGAGTCTTGTATTTACTGTAGCTTATCAGCCAGGGTCTACCTCAATCAGAAGCCCCTCTGTGTTTTATAACAATGGATAAGACTAAAACACAGGCACTGAGTTCAGTGTGAATCCCACCACCTCTAAGATGTATTTGTGTGTGACTGTACAATTTCCTTAACTTTGCTAATCCTCAGTTTCCCCACCTGTAAATAGAGGCAACTACAGTAACGAATATGTATATTATGTGTGACCATTAACTGAAATACTGCATGTAAAGTAGTCAGCATCCTGCCTGGCACTCAATAATCACTCGATACACGTTAGTTCTCATTACCTACAGAAGGTGGCCTAACTCCCCAATGGCACAGTTTTTTTTTCTCCGAAGTGCTTCTGTGGGCACGTGACCTATCCAGTGCCGGACAGGCACATTCCTAAACAGTCTGAAAGTTCCATGTGTATGCAATATGGGAGACAAGATGGGTCTTTCTCTGAATTTGGAGAAGAGCCAATTTTAAAATCATAGATCACCTAAGGCTCAAAAGTGGTTGGTAATAAGGTTTCATCTCACTGTGGAGAGCTGCCTAGATGAGGGCAGCTATTAGGGAATTCCAGATC